TAATTGTCCTATCAATTTAGCTGCTTTGATGAGGCTACTCCTGGAACTTATTAATAAGCTTCTTGTCAAACTAAAAAAAAGATGCTTGTTTTCCAGGAGAGCAATTATCCGGTAAATCTAAAAGTACATTAAATTCTTCAGGTACAACTATCCAGGAGCAGAGAGAGAACACAACCTAGTTCTATGCTAATAAAATAGGCATTTTCTCTCACTGAATGCTGTGCATTCCCCGTCTAACTCTAAAGGTTGTACTGTGATTAAAAACTCAGGAAGAACTTTTATTATTCTCATCAGAGGTAAAAAGGTAGCTTTACGATACCCTCTGGGTAGGAGCTTACACAGCTGGGCCAATTAAATCATGTTGAGAAACAGCAACTAAGCAAACTTGCCTATTTGATTTGCCTGATTTCCCATGTTTGCTGTGATCAGTGGCTTTCTCTTTTGTCCATTCCTTGGGTTCCTGATTTGACTTTCCCTCTAGGCATTAGATTTTATCTTTGGAGGCATCCTTCTATGACCATTCATTTTTGGACCAAGCCTGGATTTACAATTCTGTTGCTGGCCCAGGCTTCATTTCTATCTAGTTTCATTCCACTGTGCTATAGTTTACAACATATAATTTGACTTATAAATAATTCCTGACTATGGATTTAAAGACTGAAAATAGATCAATAGAAACTTTGAAAATGTTAACATCTTCATTTCTTTTCTCAGTGTGGAAATAGGTAATGTTTAGCTTAAAAATCTGCATTTTTTTTGTGATATATGGGGTTGAAAGACTTATTCCTGGAATTTATTGTTGAGGAGAAAGCCTGTTGCTATCTGCCATACCTTGGTTTACTTTGTATAAAATGAGCTTCTTTTTAAGTAATGAGCTCTTTCTATGTTCAGCTTAAATTGCTGTCTTAGACCCTTCATCAGAGTTCCCCGCTCTGCCTCATTCCCCTTTTTGCTCACTTGCAGTCTTTGACATAACCCTGGGAGGCAACTGGCATCATATATACTTTGCTTTGTTGTCTCCTGCTTCAATTCTGACTGGGTACCCAGTCTGCTCACTTTGCTTCTATCTTAAACAGGCTGAGACACACCAGAAACTTAGTACCAAGTTATGTATGTTGTAAGTTAATTGAGATTCCTCTTCTTGATTAAAATACACATCTTTAGAGCAGTGTTTTCCAGAATATTCCATAAAACAGATTTGTGTACAGATGTCCCTGCTTAATAATAGAGGGTTGATACATGGAAAGGACAGAAGTTTGGACATTTAACTTATCACATTTGGTATAGATTGGGTGTTAATTATAAGAGATTAAAGGCATACTCAATTCTATAGTGTAAATGCTTCACTGTATCATTAGGTTTTTGAGGTGAGCAAGGTTATGTTCGCACTAAACAATTATGATTTAGGAAAGCTTAGATAGTTATTTTTTAGAACATAATTTAAGTATTTTTTTTCTTTTCTCATTCTGTAATAAAACAATAATTATTGCTGAATAAAATAACCGACCACACATTATCTTAACAGATTAATTATTTTAATCCTCACCTTAAAGTAACTCAATTGATTCTGGTTAAATCTTCCTTTTTTCATCAGAATTATCAAAATCCCAGTGGTAATGTTTCTTGTAATATGTTTTATAAAAATTTTATTTGGAAAGTTTGAAAAATTTCTACACACAATTGAAAAGATAAGTTGGGCACAGTGGTGCCTGCCTGTAGTCCCAGCTCCTCAGGAATCTGAGGCAAGATGGATTGCCAGAGGCTAGGAAGTTGAGGACAGAGTGTGCTATGATCATATATACTTTGCTTTGTTGTCTCCTGCTTCAATTCTGACTGGGTACCCAGTCTGCTCACTTTGCTTCTATCTTTTCCCAGTGCCTGGGAAAAGCCACTGCACTCCTGCCTGGACAACTTAGCAAGACTCCATCTTTTTTGAAAAGGAAGGAAGGAAGGAAGGAAGGAAGGAAGGAAGGAAGGAAGGAAGGAAGGAAGACGAATGGCATTGGGGATAACAATTTAATCAGAGTAGTAAAATGATCATTCTATGGGTATCAAACAAATAATTGAAAATTGTATACTTCAAACAAGTGAATTAAATAATTGATATTCTGATATAAAGTCAGATTTAACAAGAGTTTCTACATGAAAAGTTTTGTAAGTAGGTCAGAACTGATTTACTACTAATAAGAGAATTCTCTTTGTAACAGGCCAGCACCTACTGAAGCCTTTCTTTCTTTTAATACTGCAAACATGTTTGCTGTTTAAAACTGGGAAACCAGCTACCCGTGAAATCATGCTGCCATTTTTTCCTCATTAGCCCTTTGGTCTGGTCTTCCTTGGAGAAGTTGATGTCCCCCAATAGATAGACTAACAGTGCAGTTGGAGAAGCAGAGTTTTACTCAATTAATTATATTTATTTGCCCTGCTGTGGTTGGCCATTCACACTTCTTACTTCAGAGGAATGGTAGTTTTGCCTTAAGGTAGGAGTATCTCAGGAAATGCAGGAAACTAAGGCAACACAACTAATATTCCAGCTGTAATAACAAGTCCAAGGGTTCTACCTCTCAGGGAAAACTATTGGCACACTGCCTTCTTTACACTTGCAGCCCTTTCAGGCCTCAGGCAAGTGTTATTCTGAGGTGAAGGAGGCTGTTCAGGGTGACGTAATTTCTCTGCCTTTCTACATGTTGCTTTGAGCCAAGTCTATGGTGAGATAAAATGCCTGTTTCAGGCAGCAGCCATCTCTCCAAAGCTTTGTAGCAGAGTTAGCTTTATTTAATGTGCTGTTAGGAAGGATGGGGGAAAAAAGAGACCTAGCTTCTTAATAAGAACTTGAAGAGCCATTCATTTAACAAATCTTATTGAATACATACTATGTAACTGGCACTGTGACCCTTATGCTTTTAAAATTTATTTGGAAGGGAGACACTGTGAGAGCAGGGAGGGGGAACTTTTTCTTTGAGTGTATTGTTGTATTTGAGATTACTGTCCTTTGCCAGACTAGATAATTAAGAATAAAAAGCTATGTTCACCTCTACCATTTCTTTCAGTTAGGTGAAAGTAATTTCCCTCTCCCTTCTTCAAATAGCTCTCACTGAAATTTGGCCTAGTTTTCTCAATAGCAGTTTTAGATATATAGGGAGAAAAGCTGATATGTGTGCTTTGGCCATTTTCCCCATCACTAATTTTTCTTGTTTTATAGTGCTATCGCCCACTCAGAGAAAGTAATAGCACTATTCATTTTAAACAATTGCTTGTTACATCTGGATTTAGTCAGATGAAGATCCAAATCATGACAGCTCTTTGGATCCCAGTTGTCTAATATATCATAGAATCAGAGGTCAGCCTCAGTGAGATGGAAACAGGACTCTCAGCTACAATAGTGGGCTATCAACATGTTAACTTTCTATTTCAGTTTTCATTTCTCCTCTTGCCTGCAATATTGGCTTAGGTATTCTCTAATTCTGCCTCTGTCTTTGGTTACTTTTGCTCACATGTGAAAAACATAATTTAATTTGTGTTGAATTTATTTCAGCAAACTGTTATGTTAGTTAGCTAAGTAAAAGTCCAATTTAATAAACTCTAAAATTTCCAGAATCTTTCATTGTAACATGTTAAATGATAATGAATATACCCTCAGCTAATTAGACTTAGTAATAAAAAAAGCAACTGTCCAGCCTTTTCTTGTTAATCAGTCAGCAAATTAAAAAATCTGTTTAACCAATCTCACCACTTTGGGAGGCCGAGGCGGGTGGATCAGGAGTTCAGGAGTTCGAGACCAGCCTGGCCAACATGGCAAAACCCCGTCTCTACTAAAAATACAAAAATCAGATGGGCATGGTGGCAGGCGCCTGTAATCCCAGCTACTTGGGAGGCTGAGACAGGAGAATCTCTTGAACTCGGGAGGTGTAGGTTGCAATGAGCCCAGATCGTGCCACTGCACTCCAACCTGGGCGACAGGGTGAGACTCCATCTGGGACCGGAGCCGGTGGCGGAGGGGGGTAGTATTTTCTCTCTCTCTCTCTCTCTCTTTTTTTTTTTTGATATGGAGTCGCGCTCTGTCGCCCAGGCTGGAGTGCAGTGGTGCGATCTCAGCTCACTGCAACCTCTGCCTCCCGGGTTCAAACGATTCTCCTAATAAAAAAAAAAAAAAAAAAGTATCTTGACCTAGTTGAAGCCCCTGCTAGCACTTGGGGTGTCTTTGTAAGAATTAGCAAAAAGTGCTCCCTCTGCGCAGAGCAAGTGAAACAAAGGCTTTCTCCAAAGAGGCTGCAGTTTCTTTGGCTGGCTGAGAGGGAGGCGACCTTGGCCCTCCCTACACACTGGGCCCGCTGCTCCTGTGCAGGCCACAACCTTCCTGACCATCATGGCAGCCCTGTTCCTGGTACGGGAAGGCAGGAAGTAGAATTCCGTACCGCTCTGAGCTCTTTCCATCTTCACATTTCTGGAGGTTTTCTTATTTTTATTTTTTATTTTTATTTAATGGCGTTAATTCTTTTTGTTGGTAGTTATAAATGAGAAGGAAAGCCGGATAATTACGATTGGATTTTAGGATAAACAAAGTGGAATAACCGTGGTGGCAGTTCAATGCAGGATTTCCCCTCCAACATGCAGTGTTAGGAAGCACATAGCAGGCTTTAAAAAAAAAAAAAAAAAAAAAAAAATCCTGGATAGTAATCTAAAGAATCACTCAGAAGGATTTGTTTATTTTTAAGAATGTATTATAAAATGTTATTATCAAATGACTGATTCTATGGCCAATATACACACACACACGTACAGAATAAAACTTCTCTGGTATGTTTTATTTATGATTATGTATTCATAATTATAACGAAGCTAAGTCACCATTATGTTTTCTGCTTTAAAGTATCAGAAGCTGCTACCTTGCCATGAAAAAGTATTACATGCTTCTCCAATTGCTCCCCCACCATATTTATCCAACAGGAAAGGAATGAATAATAAAACTTTGGGCTTTTTTTCCCCTCTTCTTTTTCCAGGTGATGTGTTCCACCTCACTGCCCCCAGTAAATTCACCTTCGAGGAGGCCGCAAAAGAGTGTGAAAACCAGGACGCCAGGCTGGCAACAGTGGGGGAACTCCAGGCGGCGTGGAGGAACGGCTTTGACCAGTGCGATTACGGGTGGCTGTCGGATGCCAGCGTGCGCCACCCTGTGACTGTGGCCAGGGCCCAGTGTGGAGGTGGTCTACTTGGGGTGAGAACCCTGTATCGTTTTGAGAACCAGACAGGCTTCCCTCCCCCTGATAGCAGATTTGATGCCTACTGCTTTAAACGTAAGTGTTTGATACCTTTTTAAAAATTACAGATTAAAAAAAATGCTTCGAAGCATGCATTGATGTTCAACTAGCCGTTGGAATGGATTCCATGTCTTGCAGTTTGTGCACGGAGTGGAAACAGTTCAGTGATTTTCAAAAGCAAGCAAACTGAACAGCAGTGATATGGTTAAAACCACAGGAATTCTGACAAATGGATTTTTAGAGGGGTGAGGAAATATCAGGTTAAGCTTTAACTGTGCTCTGTTCTGTCCAGAGCCACAGAGCATATTTCTGAGTATTTTATATTAATTGCAGTCCCTAAATTTTGCAATTTGCTTATTGGTGCTACAGTGCTGAGGCCAAGTGAGGCTGAGTTAAATCCTTAAGATTGTTTATTTTGTCTTTGGTATCACTCTCTTTCTTTGAGATGGCAGAGAATTTAAATTTTAGTAATTACAGGTGAGTACTTGAAGCTGACATGGATACTCAAAAAGTCATAACTAAAAACGAACTATACTATCAATAAAAATCTCCATTTATTTCAAGTAATGGAAATTCATGCCTTCTAATCATCTGTAATATCATATTGAAGTACAGTATGTGTTCTTTGCAGCCTATAACAGAGTATCTTTACTTAGGTTTACTAATTAACATTGTTTTTTTAAATAATGTTTCTCAACATTCATAATTATTTTAATTTTCCAGATGTCCTCAAATAATGTTAGCAATAGTCACATGATAAAGTATCATAATTGTAGTATGCAAATTAAACGAGCAAGTAATCTAGCATCTCATTGGAATATTTACTGAACCATCTGTACTGTGCTAGCTAAACAAAGATCTCCCAGAATTTTGGTGACCTTGGGTATATCCAAGACAGAGTCAGGTTATGTTGAAACAAATTTGTAAACAATTTTGACTAAATTTCCAATGTATCTTGTTACAGCAATATGTCACTAAAATGAGTACAAAATGTACTAGCTTATTATATAATTGATTTCTAGAGTGAAATACAAAGGCATTTTTAAGCAACCAAAAAGACACAGACTGTGATGTTGTAAGTAGTCAGTAGAATGGATGTTCGTGCAACCAAAAGGTTTGTTTTCACACTTTTATCTCCTACTAAGAAGCCTCTGCTTGGATCTCCTCCCTTAGACTCAACTTGAGTGTTAAAGCCATGTGTTGTGTATTAGCTTGATACAAGCTGGTCAATCCATAAAGGCTGTAGAAATGCTAGCTTTTGTTCTCAGGCCCTGAAACAACAGAATTCTTCCTTAATCATTTTCAGGAAAACAACAATAACATAAACCTTATCTCTAAAAGTAGACAGATGTACATTCCTTTAAGCCACATTGTCACAACAATGATTTTTCAAGTACTTGAGGCTCTAAAATCAGTTTTACATTACGTGACTGACATAATTAAGGCACAAAATCAGATTGGTATGCTGTGGGGAAGGCTTGGAGAGGTTAAATTAGGGAAGGAGTAGAATTATCCAGCCTGACTTCCTTATTTGATATTTTCTTGTGCTTTATTAATAAAACTGGCACCGGAAAACTTTTAAACAACGTTTTTCGTCTCTCTGTGGGTAAAATTTAAATCAAAGCCTGTCTATAGCCACAAAGACTATTATTAAAGAATTTATCCTGATGTGTTTTAAATTATTTAATTGAAAAATACACATGAAATAACAAGGTACTTATGTTTAAATAGAGTAACCACCTACTAAAAATCTGCACAAAATTCAAAAAATGTTTAAAAGTTTATATTCATTTTTATCTCTCTAATTCATTTCATGTATATAACTTGTAAATATAATGGATTCATATTTTGCTTTCTTCCCCACCTAAGCATGTGGCTAGATTCTTATTTATTTCCTACTTAAGATGTTATTATATTCAGAATTCATTCAGTACATAGAAAGTTAAAAGAGTTTAGCCATATAGAAACCTTTCTCTTTTTTTTGAGACAGAGTCTCGCTCTGTTGCCCAGGCTGGAATGCAGTGGCACGATCTCCGCTCACTTCAAGCTCCGCCTCCCGGGTTTACGCCATTCTCCTGCCTCAGCCTCCCAAGTAGCTGGGACTACAGGTGCCCACCACCACACCCGGCTAATTTTTTTGTCTTTTTTAGTAGAGACAGGGTTTCACTGTGTTAGCCAGGATGGTCTTGATCTCCTGACCTAGTGATCCGCCCACCTCGGCCTCCCAAAGTGCTGGGATTACAGGCTTGAGCCACCGCGCCCGGCCTAGAAGCCTTTCTTAAACCACACATAATGCCAATAGTTTTCCAAAATTTCTAATTTATTTTTCAAACTTTTTTTTAGTGTGTGGGTATATATATATACACACACACATATATATACACATATATATACACACACACACACTTTTTTTTTTTTTTTTTGAGATGGAGTTTTGCTCTTGTTGCCTAGGCCAGAGTACAATGGTGCGATCTCAGCTCACTGCAACCTCCACCTCCCGGGTTCAAGTGATTCTCCTGCCTCAGCCTCCCAAGTAGCTGAGATTACAGGCATACAGCACCATGCCCGGCTAATTTTGTGTTTTTAGCAGAGATGGGGTTTCACCATGTTGATCAGGTTGGTCTCGAATTCCTGACCTCAGGTGATCCACCCATTTCGGCCTTCCAAAATGCTGGGATCACAGGAGTGAGCCACTGCTCCTGGCCTAGTATATATTTTTAAATAATTTGAAAAATATTTTTGAAATGACTTAATTGATGTCCACCTTTCCCACATAGTCAAGTAGTGACTAAAGGGTAAAATTCGTAAGAGTCATGGCCTCAGCTACAGTTCCAAAAGTGATTTCAGAGATATACAGCTGGCTGGTTATGTAGAGGAATTTAGAAATATAACCATATTTTTCTTGTTTGCTTCTACCAAACGTAGAAAGTGTTTTTTAAGTCACTTGGTGAATGAACAATGCCAAATCTTACTTTGCTTTAATTCCCTTTACCTCACAAAGTCACTGACTAAAACATTCACAACGACAGACAGAAAATATAAAATTAGGCTTTATTCTTTTCAAATAAATTTGAAAAGTAGGCAAAGTAATGTCTTTGTAAGATAAAGTTTTCCTGTATATCTTCTCCTAATGATTAAACAATTTAACGTATTTATTTTTTTGACTTCAGAATTTAGCAAGTTCTGTGAAAGTTGGAGAGTTATACAAGGCTTTGAAAGATCATTTCATACATCCCCAAACTTAAGTGAATCAAAACCATTCAAGACTCATGATCATCTCTCACCGAATGTTATTAATTATCTCCAGAGAGGGAGATGGAACATGTTTCCTAGAAAACTCATTCTAATATTCCATGACCTGCACTCTCAGATAATTTTTCTAATTAAGTACTTTGCATTTGAATTTGAACCCATGTTTTCATTTTTGAGTTGGAGACCAAAATCTGAATAACAGCCCTTTCTATTGTTGATCACAATTGTTTATTTTTCCCTCAGCATCTTCTCCAACTGAAACAATTTTCTTGTTTTACAGTTTCAACCTCCAAATTTCTAATCATTGATAGGTTCTTGCTTTGAAGTTTCATCATTGTTTTTCACATTCCTCTATTTATGATTAAGCTTGGAAATCAAAATGGTGGTCCAGAGAAGGCTACATTAATTCCCACCACTTTCTATCCTATCCTATATACTCATTCGCTGTTAAAATTGGCCTGCCCTTCTAACCTGTGGTTAGTTCATTATCTTTTTTGTGTGTGCCCTAGTTCATAATCTGACCACATGTGTCAAAACTAACCTTTCCCCAATTGGTATATTAGAAATGTTTCCTGTTTACTGAATTTGAATTTGTTAGCATTCCATCACTCATACAAGTTTAAAAAGATAGTTTGAATTGTAATTCCACTGCTCCAATCTTTACAGTTTTCTAACCATGTTTACATTTAGTTATGTATAACAAATTTAATATAGAAGAACCAAGTTAAAATTAGTCATTTCTCAATAATGTAGATAGCATGGGAATGAGTTAAATTGAGTATCATGCTGCTAATAGGGGTTTTAAGTTTTATTAGGAAAATCTGTCTCATGTCTCGCAACAGAAGCAGAGAAGATGGCCCATAGGACAAAAATGCCATAAGTACAGTGATGTGAAACATCTGTGGGCAGACAGCTGCAAAGGTTGGAAAGGAACTTTTGTGGGAAAAGAATTGTGTTGATTTATGTTGGCTTCCTCAATAATAAAGTTGAAGGAATGCTGGTAGTTTTCCAGAACCAAAACGTCTCCATGTGAATGCACCTATTGGAAGGACACTGGTAGAATAACCTGGAATTGTTTTTATCTTTACAATAGTCATCATGAATACAGTGGTATTTATTCTTAAAATATCTCTTTGTAGATTTGTGCTTTATAAAATTATTTCCTTTTCTGGAATGGCTGAAACAAATGGCACAGATCCTCAGATACACTGACTTGTGATCAAAATCAGCTGTTAAGTTGATGAAAAAGCCACCCAAACTGAAAAGGAAGTCTGAGGTTTTCCATTCCAAGTAGTAGAATTAATTAACTTAATTAAAAGCAGACCTTTTCTTTTTTTAAATAGAGCTCTAAAATTATTGAAAACCCTTGTTTTTGGAAACAAAGTCACATCAATACTGGCTTTCTAGAACAGATTCTCTAGGACATATTGCTACTACTTTATTACACAGCAGGACTAGAGGAAGGAATGCAACAGCAAACTCCATAGTAATAATTGACAATGAAATCCAGTTATTTAGTTTTAAAAATATGAGTCAATATTTAAAACACTATAAACATATTTTCATAGCATTGTAGAAAGTTGCTAGCAGAGAGCTTGGATTGGAACATAGGAAGCCTGGATTCACAGCCCCTTATGCAGTTGTACCTGTTTCTAAGTTAATTTCATTAGCCAAGGAAATACTCAGAGGGAAAAAGTAAATTTAGCTTTTTTGTTGTTATTAATAATAGTATGATTAAATTTTCTCTAATATGCTGTTTGCTAAGTATTTATATTATGTTTCCATGGGAACTTTTTCTGTATGTATCTTTTTACTATTTCCCCAAAGAATGCAGTTATAAGACAAACATGAAATTTGGCAGTTAAATGAAGTAATGGTTATGGAATTTCAGAGGATAGAGAATTGAATTAAAATAGTCATCCACATTTTGGGTTTTTAAGTTGTTCATGTCAATCAAAATAGAACAACGCTTCTTCCAGGAAATGAATGCAGAAAAAGCTTTACTTTAAAAAGGGGAAGAAAAGGTTATTTAATGTTTTTAAACTCCAATTCTTTTTTGGTTTAGTTTTGCTTTAATATTAGAAAGATAAATAATGGCAGACTTTAAAGAATATTTAAATGTATCATAATGTAAATAACCATCAAATGTTCATGATAAAATCAGTGAGGCTGAGCTTTAAAATGGTCTGGGGGAATGACCACAACTAATAACAGCTTGTGCCAGACAAAAAATAAGGAACCTGTTACAGCCCTAGTCTGATTTACAATAAAATCATATCCTTTTATGATTAAGTTTTTACAGAGCAAGTGGAGCTAAAAGGTAGCCTGTTTTGTTTTTTTGAGGGCTCCTGTTCTGGAATTATGAAAAGTAAAAAAGAAGATACTATAGATACTATGGCTATTACATCTCTTTTCAGGGCAAACAAGCATTTACTCACAAAACTAGCTTTAAGTCCTATGGGATATAGCAAAACAGTAACTGCAGGTTTCTTCAGGACAGTTCTTTCGAGTTCAGTGGCAACTATTAATAGGTTTTTATTTTTAAAAATACTGATTTTTTTAATTAAAAAATAAAACAATCATTATATACTAGGCTGCTGCCTTTTCCCTGTGTTGAGAAAGAACCTTGTTTACAAACTGTTGCTTTTATACACAATTTAAATTTCTTTAAACAGGCCAGGCCATTCTCTGTAAATCTGGAGACATTCTAATGCAGCATTTTATGATGACAAGTTACTTTATATTGCCTGAGCCTGTTCTTACTGATGCTCAGGGTTGTTCTCAGTGATTTGTAATTACAGACCTAAAATACATTATGTGGGTACTTTATTTCCTGTTCTACATTTGTGTTTCAGGCTAAAGTAAGCCTGAAAACAAGATCCTTAGGAGATACAAACAGAGTGTGTAGAACATAGAACAAAATGTAGAACTACAATAAATGCCAACCAGCCTCTGCCAGGCACATTTTATAATTTATTAGAAACAAATCTATACCATGAAGTTGAAGGAAAGATGAAGACACATGTCCAACACCTGGGATCAAGTGAAGAGTGGTATTAAAAAGTTTTAATATCCTGTTTTTATGAAAGTCTCCACATTATGGACAATGTAATGGTTTATATGTAACTTGGACACATTTGATGTGGCTTTTTTGTTGTTTTGCAATCTGAGGCACACCCTCTCCCCTGAGATAATGCACAGCAACTTCAAAAGAAGGGAGTATGTGGAGAAAGCTAGAGGCAGGGTTCAGAAGCCTCCAGAAGAATAGTACTCAATTCTCCTGTGAGGCTTCAAATTGACACTGTAGTTTCTGGTAAATAAACAATCTACTGTATCCAAAATCTGCATTTATATTTTTGGGAGCTTTTCCTTATCTTGAAACTATATAATATTAATTTTCCTTAACTGATAACAGTCATGCATACTTTTAGGTAAAAGCAATGATAACCCTTATAACGTAAAACAACTGATCAATTTATGACTATTAAGTGTTCAATTATCTGTCCCTGGGTCAATTCCAGTATAGTTTTAAGACTCCTCTCCATCACAGAACATTTCCGGGTCACCCCAAAATACTCCCTGCAAAATACTCAGGAACACTTAACAAACACTGGGCATACAACTTTTTATTAGTGACTTATCTAATCAACTCTTTGAAATTATTTTTCTAGCTAAAGAGGCTACAACCATCGATTTGAGTATCCTCGCAGAAACTGCATCACCCAGTTTATCCAAAGAACCACAAATGGTTTCTGATAGAACTACACCAATCATCCCTTTAGTTGATGAATTACCTGTCATTCCAACAGAGTTCCCTCCCGTGGGAAATATTGTCGATTTTGAACAGAAAGCCACAGTCCAACCTCAGGCTGTCACAGATAGTTTAGCCACCAAATTACCCACACCTACTGGCAGTAGCAAGAAGCCTTGGGATATGGACGACTACTCACCTTCTGCTTCAGGTCCTCTTGGAAAGCCAGACATATCAGAATTTAAGGACGAAGTGCTCCAAAGTACAACTGTCGTCTCTCATTATGCCACCGATTCATGGGATGGTGTCGTGGAAGATACACAAACACAAGAATCGGTTACACAGATTGAACAAATAGAAGTGGGTCCTTTGGTAACATCTATGGAAATTTTAAAGCACATTCCTTCCAAGGAATTCCCTGTAACTGAAACACCATTGGTAACTGGAAGAATGACCCTGGAATCCAAAACTGAAAAGAAAACGGTAAGCACTGTTTCTGAATTGGTAACCACAGGTCACTATGGATTCACCTTGGGAGAAGAGGATGATGAAGACAGAACACTTCCAGTTGGATCTGATGAGAGCACCTTGATCTTTGACCAAACGCCTGAAGTCGTTACAGTGTCAAAGACTTCAGAAGACACCACCGACACTCAGTTAGAGGACTTGGAGACAGTCTTAGCATCCACAACTGTTTTGCCTTTAATTATGCCTGACAATAATGGATCATCCATGGATGACTGGGAACAGAGAGAAACTAATGGTAGGATAACGGAAGATTTTTTTGGCAAATATCTGTCTACTACACCTTTTCCATCACAGCATCATACAGAAATAGAATTGTTTCCTTATTCTGGTGATAAAATATTAGTAGAGGGAATTTCCACAGTTATTTATCCTTCTCCACAAACAGAAATGACACATAGAAGAGAAAGAACAGAAACACTAATACCAGAGATGAGAACAGATACTTATACAGATGAAATACAAGAAGAGATCACTAAAAGCCCATTTATGGGAAAAACAGAAGAAGAAGACTTCTCTGGGATGAAACTCTCTACATCTCCCTCGGAGCCAATTCATGTTACAGAGTCTTCTGTGGAAATGACCAAGTCTTTTGATTTCCCAACATTGACAACAAAGTTAAGTGCTGAGCCAACAGAAGTAAGAGATATGGAGGAAGAATTTACAGCAACTCCAGGTACTATAAAATATGATGAAAATACTACAACAGTGCATTTGACCCATAGTACTTTAAGTGTTGAAGCGGCCACCATATCAAAATGGTCATGGGATGAAGATAATATAACATCCAAGCCTTTAGAATCTACAGAACCTTCAGCCTCTTCAAAATTGCCCCCTGCCTTACTCACAACTGTGGGGATGAATGGAAAGGATAAAGAAATCCCAAGTTTCACTGAAGATGGAGCAGATGAATTTACTCTTATTCCAGATAGTACTCAAAAGCAGTTAGAGGAGATTACTGATGAAGACATAGCAGTCCATGGAAAATTCACAATTAGATTTCAGCCAACTACATCAATTGGTATTGCAGAAAAGTCAACTTTGAGAGATTCTATAACTGAAGAAAAAGTTCCACCTATCACAAGCACTGAAGGCCGAGTTTATGCAACCATGGAAGGAAGTACTTTGGGTGAAGTAGAAGATGTGGACCTCTCTAAGTCAGTATCTACTGTTCCCCAACTTGCACACACTTCAGAGGCAGAAGGATTAGCATTTGTTAGTTATAGTAGCACCCAAGAGCCTACTACTTATGTAGACTCTTCCCATACCATTCCTCTTTCTGTAATTCCCAAGACAGACTGGGGAGTGTTAGTACCTTCTGTTCCATCAGAAGATGAAGTTCTAGGTGAACCCTCTCAAGACATACGTGTCATTGATCAGACTCACCTTGAAGTGACTATTTCTCCGGAAACTATAAGAACAACAAAACTCACAGAGGAAACAACTCAGGAAGAATTCCCTTGGAAAGAACAGACTGCAGAGAAACCAGTTCCTGCTCTCAGTTCTACAGCTTGGACTCCCAAGGAGGCAGTAACACCACTGGATGAACAAGAGGGTGATGGATCAGCATATACAGTCTCTGAAGACGAATTGTTGACAGGTTCTGAGAGCATCTCAGTTTTAGAAACAACTCCAGTTGGAAAAATTGATCACAGTGTGTCTTATCCACCAGGTGCTATAACTGAGCACAAAGTGAAAACGGTTGAAGTGGTAACACTAACACCAAGCATTGGGCCAAAAGTATCTATAAGTCCAGGGCCTGAACAAAAATATGAAACAGAAGGTAGTAGTACAACAGGATTTACATCATCTTTGAGTCCTTTTAGTACCCACGTTACCCAGCTTATGGAAGAAACCACTGCTGAGAAAATATCCCTAGAGGATATTGATTTAGGCTCAGGATTATTTGAAAAGCCCAAAGCCACAGAACTCATAGAATTTTCAACAATCAAAGCCACAGTTCCAAGTGATATTACCACTGCCTTCAGTTCAGTAGACAGACTTCACACAACTTCAGCACTCAAGCCAGCTTCCGCGATCACTAAGAAACCACCTCTCATCGACAGGGAACCTGGTGAAGAAACAACCAGTGACATGGTAATCATTGGAGAATCAACATCTCATGTTCCTCCCACTACCCTTGAAGATATTGTAGCTAAGGAAACAGAAACCGATATTGATAGAGAGTATTTCACGACTTCAAGTCCTCCCACTACACAGCCAACAAGACCACCCACTGTGGAAGACAAAGAGGCCTTTGGACCTCAGGCACTTTCTACACCACAGCCCCCAGCAAGGACAAAATTCCACCCTGACATTAATGTTTATATTATTGAGGTCAGAGAAAACAAGACAGGTAAGTCTTTGCTTTCTAGACTGCCATTGAAGGCAATCCGCATTTTATCTTGAAAGTTACTTTTGGGAAAAAAAAAAATCAACATACCAAATGCTGCCATTAGAAGATAACTGGAGTGTGAAAAATAAATGTTTTAGCTTCATATATTTATACAAGAATTGGAAGAATATGTTAAACAATGTGGAAGAATGTTAGATACAATTTTATGTTAAAAGTCATAAGAAGCCCTGCTTTGTCATCTAATATAACCAAATCATCACTGTTACATCACTTCAGAACATGCAGAACAAAATGTTTTAATTTCAGTGTCTTTTCATACATTACTACTCAAGTGTAGCACTAGACTGTGTTAACATTCCATTGGTCTTTAACTATTAACCTTCAGTACTTACAATGTGGATGGCTAAAATGGTTTTGCATATCCCTAAGGTTAACAGAAAGATATTTGAAGGTTTGTTTTGGTTTTTCTTTTCCAGGATTTTACAGGTTTATTATATGGCTTGTGTGGTGGGTAATAGGTCTCTAATGTAAGTGTTATTTTAATGTAAATGCAACATATTCTTATGCTGTTGTTTTGGGGTATTATACTGTGGTTTTATCTATTTAGAGCAAATACAGCCTAGCTTAGTTGTAGGGAGTATTATAGTTTATTGTATTAAATATAATTTCAGAAGGTGGCTATGTATGCATTATCCTTGCTTCCTAAAAACCAGGCTGTAACGTTGTTTATTTTATGATTTAATTATTTTACCGCTAGGAATATTTGTGATGTCTTCTATTCCACTCAAATATTTTAGCTCTCTGACAGAACCCGTAAAAGCTCTTTGTTTACATTGATTAATACTTGCAGTTGTCATGATAAAATATGATTTATTGCTGTCTAAAGGTGAGACCCCACCATCTTTTACATTTGATGAGCTGAGTTGAGAATATATAGCAAATGCAGTTCAATAAATCAATTCAGGTTTGTCTCTTTCTAATTTAGAAATTAAGATCATGTTTTTTTGTTAATTTGCTATATTCTTATTTTCATAAAGAATTAAATGAATAAGTATTCATATTTTTCTTGACCTGGCTCTGAGAAGACAGAATAGAAGAATTTTTTTTTTTTTTAAGCAGGGTTTCTATCTTGCTGTTGGAATATTCCCTTTCAAGTATCATTTTTCTGAAGACTGATGCTATCCTCATTAGAGTGCTCAGGAGTGCACCTATTGGAAACAAACAAGTAGCGTTATTGTCAAGTGTGTTTGCATGTTGTGCTGTTGGTGGAAACTTCATGGCTTCTATAGGTTTCTACTCTCCAGAATTTTCCGTGTGAAAACTTTCTTGTCAGTGAATAGTAGAGAAGAGAACACACCCACAGAATATTAAAATTAATCTCCACTTCCCAATATAGTTTCAAAAGGTTAGGATTTGATCATGATTTTCTTGCTAATGATATTGTTTCTTGGAAATCATAACATATTTCCTCTTTTCTACATCCTTTTCCATCTCTCGGAACTGGTGTAGGAAAGAGAAAATGAATTGCCAAGAAGTCGGAATGAGGATTGCGTTAGTAAGGCTGGAAAAGAGACAGGAATATAACTATGAAAGAAAAAAAAAAAAAAGTAAAGAGAAGCAAAAAGTAAATGACTACTAACACTTAGTTTCATAATTCAAACAAATACTTGAATGGATATGCAGATTGTTTTTCAATTGATATTATCCTGTTAGTGTAGATAATAAGTTGAGTTGAATAGTATAAAATCCAGTAAAAATGTTCTGCATTTAAAAACTCTTCTAAGTGGGAAACTGCCAGTTAAAGTTAGGATAGTCAAATTACAAAATGGAAAAAGTGAAACTTGATCTCTCTGAAAGAATTGGCAGTCATCAGAAAAAAAGAACTAAGTTATAAATGGTTACTGGAAATGGAGGGTCTGAGTAAGCTAAACCTGAAACAATTTATTACAAAGGTGTATATTTATAAGCGAATTGTGGACTTGATTCAGCTAGATCTGGGAGACATATATAGGTGTTTCTTCTCCTTACTTCTGCTTCTAAAATGTGGAACTATAATCCACCTTCAAATTAATTTTGTTTTGTATAATAATAATGGGTCAGAAAACTGTGCAATACTTGGTTACTTCCGTCAGGCAGAATTCTAATGTGAGAGTGTGTGTATGTGTGTACAGGGGAGGGGATGTATCTGTGAAATAATTACGTATCTACCTACCTACCTTCTTACCTACCTACCTACCTGTCATCATCTGTATTTTTATGTGTTCTGTATATGCTCTTCTCCTTAACTAAAAGCATTGTTTATTGTCTTCATAAGACAATGAAGTTTACTCACCTCTAACTGCTCACCTATACTAATATTATTTATTTTCTATGAGAAATTTTATCTTCCAACATTTTGAGCTTTGGCAAGGGAAAATCCTAAAGCAGATGTTCAATTAATGAGTTTCAAGGCAGGTGTATACCTTAATAAGGAAAAGTGCATATGTGCCTGGAGAACCAACCTTTTTGTGTATCAAGGCACACTTTTCCAGACTGGAAAGTCCTTGGTGCGTGTGTGAACTTGTATAAATCTATTCACAGGAATAGAATACACCTTTATATATACTGTATATCCAAGTAAGCAAAAATACCACCCATGCTATTCTAAACCCAGGCATTCAATAATTTTTTGCTGTACTCAGCGAGTCATATAAATCTTTTTTTTTTTTTTTTTTTTTTTACTACTATGAAACAAAACATGCTACTCAGGACACACTTATGTTATACTTGCTCAAATGGATCTTAATAGCAACTTACGGTGCTGTTGCTAGAGGGCAACTGTAGTTAGCAGTTAAAAAAATCTGAAGGAACTTTTCAGCTCATAAAAGTTTTATGAGCTGAAAAATGCTATGGGGTGTGTTTAACAGTGGTTCAGGGGATACTGAAAACTTTACTCCTGTCTATTTCAGGAGTAATTTGCACACCTGCATTTTGAAAAATTATTGAAAGGCTTTCTTTGTGAACATGCATGAAGGCCAGAATTTGAAGGTGTAGGAAGAGTTTCTTCAACTCTAGACTTTTTTTTTTTAAAGAGCACTCCTCTAAATCATCTAAAATGTCACAAGGTAGTGGAACAGAACTGCGAATGTTTTTAAAAACTGACAAACAGGTATTTTTAAATCAAAGAATAATTTAGAAATGTATGGATATTAAATACCAACGTTATTATGCAAATGCTCATAGTTATAACCTTAAAATAGGCAGCTTATTACCTTTTTTAACAAACAAATTCATATATGCTACTTACTATGTGTCAGACCAGGTTGATGCTGTCTTGTTAGGTGTTCTTTTTCCTACTAGTTTTATAACTTATATCTACCCAAATGTATGTGTGCAGATGCAAAGCAATATTAAATTAAATGATAGAAAGATTAAGATGTTAGTAAAATTATTAGTGTAATGCTATTAAAGATTAATTAGATTTTGAGAAATATACAAAAAGCTAAAGACTTATTGTCTAAATATGGTGTTATGGAAAGGATAAAGAACAAGGAACATTGGCTCTGAGGGCAGGAGACATCTGGGCAGATACCAATATTTATAATATCATTGATTACAGAGTCATCACATTTTTTTTTTGAGATGGAGTCTTGCTCTGTCACCCAGGCTGGAGTACAGTGGGGTGATCTCGGCTCATTGCAATCTCTGCCTTCTGGGTTCAAGCGATTCTCCTGCCTCAGCCTCCCAAGTAGCTGGGATTACAGGTGATCACCACTATGCCTGGCGAATTTTTGTATTTTTGGTAGGGACAGGGTTTCAGCATCTTGGCCTGGCTGGTCTTGAACTCCTGACCTCGTGATCCACCTGCCTTGGCCTCCCAAAGTGTTGGGATTACAGGCGTGAGCCACTGCACCCAGCCAAGTCATCACTTTTTAGAAGGTACTATTTATTTAAGATAGTCTCATATAATTTTTTTAAATCACATATTTCCTATTTTTATAGAATTTTATAGAAAGTTTTAATTATAGAAAAATTATTTTCTGATTTGTTATTATGAGATCCAGGTCCTTTCTTCAAACAAAATGTTATCGAGAGCCCCCGTATCTTGAACAGACAAAAGAGTAGCTGTGTTGGTTAATGTTTTAGGGGGACATGGGGAGCCTCAATCCCTTGGGACCTCCTCCTCATCTCCTGTGGTGGTTTCTAAAATAACATGTACCTAGAACACAGCTAGAAAAAGAATGATATCTAGACAATTCAAAATAAAGCAAAAACAGTGACTCATTCCTGAGAGAATTATTAAAAGTAAAAATATTTCAAAAATTGGTCTGATTATCTATATCTTTATCTCATTATAATGATACACATTTAACATTTACCTTTGAATAGCACTATGCATGGTGCTGAATAAAACACATTAAACAAATATTGTTTCAATCTTATTGATGCCTATATGTCATCAAGATAATATATAATGGTATGTCAGAGTCTCACATGTATGTGCAAAACTAAGTCATCATCAAATTCACACTTCGGGTTTGATACTTTCAGACCGCTTTTTCTATATTTTATCATGTCTAAACCTCAAAGATAGTTTGTGAGACAACTAAGACAACTAGGGGAAGCAGATAGGCAAACGAAGGTACACTGAGCCTGACATTCTTGGCATTGGGTCTAGCAGCCCTGGCCCTCTTTGGAGCATTTTTGCTATAAAGTGATTCTCTCCCCTGATGAGCTCTGAGAAAACAACCACCCCCTGCCCAGTCGCTTAGGTACTGCCCTGTCTGTCAATTCCTGAAAGAGCAAACTCTGGGAAGACTGGTTTCTCATTGGCATTCTAGTGGTTTGTTAAGAATATATAATTTAGATTTGGTTGCTGCTAATATGGGGCACTATGCATGCTATTCAGATACCTGACATAGCAAGGAAAGCGCGTGCTGAAATTGGTAGTATGTTATTCTGCAGTTCTGGGCAGCTTCTTTCCTGTAGAATTTTGGAGCACATCTCTGAAAGTGGATCGG